TGAAATTTTTGCCCTAATTTGGTCAGTATAATTAATGGCTTGCAAATCTTTTAGAGGTCTCATTTCAAGCATTCAATGCATGGACATGCTTTATATCCATTTTTGGAAGAAAGTGTACATTATCATTTTGATAAAGTGCTTTTTTGCACAAAACTTGTTCTTGAGCCTTGCACTTGTTCTCTTCTGATCACACAAGTCCTATAACTCATGAGAAATGGTTTAAACACTTACAATCACCCAGCCCATACTTGTACCTCACATTGAAACTTGGTTTCCCTCTTTTCTTCAAAATTAAGTAACCTAGCCAAAAGCTTAAAACTTGTACTTCTGACTTGCCAATGCACTCCAATCCTTTTGCTTATAGATACACAAACTATTTGCATCAAACACACGAATGCTCAAGCCTTGAAAACAGCTAGAACTCAGAATCATATCCCATACCTCCATTTTCAAATAAACTGACCAAAAACTTGAAACTCATAACTCCCTCGTGCATTTTCAAGTCTTTTAGTTTCTAAAGCTTATAAACATCATTTAGAACTGATCCCACACCCTATTACAGAACTGTAACACCATTAACACCATCCTCCATTTTCAAAAATAGAGCTTTGCACTTGGACTTCTCTATAACTCCTCAGGCCCTTTCAGCTCAAGCTAAGTTAAGCATTCCATTAGCTTCCTGGGAACTTGAGGAAGCTAACCCAACCATTGGAACTCCTTGAAAGTTGCTCAAACTTCAAACCCGATACCCTCTTGCAAGGTAAGTTTTCTAACTTTGGAACTTCTCATACAGGCATCATCAATGATTTATTTGTGAACAAAACATGTAGATATCATTGCCCTAAAGCTAACCATGTCCATAATTTCCATTAATTTTGCCTGAGCTTAGAGAATTTGAAGATTGAATTTTTTGAGATTTTTAGGGTTCAGAATAGGGCCATTAAGATTCATGTTTATCTTTGAGCTTTAGTTTTAATGTTTTACATTTCTGAAATCGTGAGGAAATTTGATAAAAGTTCCGTGTTTACAGTTTTCATTTTTGTTGAGAAATGAACAAGTTACAGTTGGTCAGGCTGGAGGTTGAAGATGAAGTGTAACTCAGGGCGTGTTTTGTATCATATATTTGTTGTTTTGCTTATGTTAACAGATATATAGCCACCCCAGTAGTAGAACCGCGTGCCTGTAACCTTTGGGACCTGGGTTCGAACCCCAGTGGTATCCTTTTGATTTTTTTCATATTTTTTGCATTTTCTGACCCTTTTTTTTGCAGGCGTTGGGCTCCACCTTTGGGCCTTTTTTTTTGTTTTTACTTTCTAACCCCCTTGTGGACTATTTGCGCCCCTGGCCCAATTTTATTTTATTTTCTTATTTTTATTTCATTTATTTTCTTAAATATTTTTCCTAATATTAAAAAATCATTAAAAAAATACAAAAATATTAGATTTTCATTTTGACATAGTTTATTTATTTTTTCTCATAAAAATTATTTTTATTTAATAAATACTTTATTTATTTCACTAAACATCTTGTATATTTAATTAAAATAATATATTTTTATTTATTTTCTTTTACACCAATTTAAATATATTATTTTAATATAAAAAAGGCCAAAAATATTTTCTAATACTATAATTTATTTCCAAGACAAAAATACCAAAAATACTTTTCTTAAACTTAATCTCCTTTTAATCAATTAATAGACTTAGGGTTTTATTTAAAATATTTTCTTAATAAAGTTAGGTTTAATTAATTATTTTCTTTTAATTAATTAGGTTAAAACAAATTCACTTTTCCTAAAAATCCAAACAAAAATATCCATTTTCTTTATATTTGCATTCTTGCATATTTATTCATTTTTGTACATTTATTTATTTCAATTATTGTACAAATTCAATTTGGTTGTAATAGATTAATTAGGTTTATATTCTTACAATCCCCCATTTATACTTTGTACACCCCCCTCCTACAAGTATTGTAATAGCGTAGTAACTTTAAATTCTGCAATTTATCGCTTTATATACAAATGTTAGTAATTGGGTTTGTATGGAAAGACTAAAACCAGTACTTAGAAAACCCTAATTCAATACAAAATCAAGCATGAAAACAATACACTTGCACACAAGCACCCATAGAGTAAATCCACTTGGTTGCCTTTTACAGAATGGCCATATTACGCATGTAAGGTATCTTAGCAAAAATAAGCAAATACAAGATCATAGTCCCTCAATGACGCTATCTAAGTTGCCTTTCAAATGATCTTAGTCCCTTAAAGAAAATGCTAAGATACCTTGTAATATTGTTAATCATGGTTATACGATGACCCACGCCCGTCCCGTTTACATCCAAAGATAAGGTTACTTACCAAATCAATGGTAAGATAACAATGTCAAAGGAAAAGAAAATGAACAAGAAAGACTTTTGAGTAGGTAGAATGCTCCTAATTACTTGCTCAATTTTAAACAAAACATCCTTGTTATTTTCAAAACAAACATCCACATTTTCAAAACATCTTTCAAACTTGAAAACACTTTCAAAAGACCAAACACTTTGTATACATTCTTACGAACGAGAATCATTACAAAGTTTGCCTAAACGATGGCCTCTTTACAAAATACTTTCAAAAACCACACAAAGCACAATTTCAAACAAAAGCAAGTGATCTAGCAAGTAACTAAGAGCCCATGGAAAACCATGGATGAAAAGGGTGTTAATACCTTCCCTTCTCATAATCTACCCCCCGAACTCAAGAAATAATCTCAAAGGTCTTTCATGTGCTTTTTCACCTTTCCTTTTGGATAAAAGAAAAGTCGGTGGCGACTCTTGCTAACCGCAACATTTGCAATCAAACGCAAAACCTTCAAGTCAATTCTCCCATTGTATCACACCTACGTATCCCTTATAAGGAATCAGAGCAGCCGTAGTTCGGCTCACAAGTTTTTGTTGGTTTGTATTTTTTATGAATAATATTAATTTCGCCTTCTGCCGCAGCTCGACCTTTGAAGACTCACGCGTCAGCGCATAAGTGAATTAACACGTCCTTTCTGAAAAGTTTGAAAGAAAATCTCGAAGGCGCAAAAGAGTTTGCATTGGTTAATATTTTTTACCTTAAAGAAGGATTTGGAAGTTGTTATATGTTTTATACTTTTTTTCTAAGAAAAAGAGTTTTATTCTTAAGTCAAAGATGCAAAAGAAAAAAAAAACATCTAAGGGAAACTAACCTAGATCTATCCCTAATGTTATCATACAATGATTGACCCTAAGGTTGAGGATAAAAGGGAAATCTCTACCCTATGTTAGTATGCATGGATATCTATCCTAATGTCTAGCTCGAAAACTACTCTAATTGAGTGATCCTAAGGGAAGCATTGTATAGCAAACAAATAAGCAAACAAGTGTTTTGGCAAAAGCACACAAACATGAGTAACACATACTGACTCAAAGGGATGGGGAAACAAGAGAAATGATTTAGCTAAGGGGAGCGGATCACCCGAAGCAAACAAGTGGGAGACTGATGAAATAATAAAAAATGTGACATCCAAAGCGACTGAACACCTAACCAAGATATAGAAGATCGAGGTAGGCGACAGAAGGCAATATGAACGATCACAGAGTGTCAGCATCAGCCAATGCGAACTCCTGATAAAGCGTGGGGTTTGATTGCAAAACCCTTCCCCACTTGACGAACTCGATACACAAGATTTGCACAACTCTGAAGCATCGACGTACAACATGAGCTACAGATGACACGAACTGGAATATGTGGGGTTCGATTGTGAAGCCTCGTCGTTTTCCTCCTTTTGAGGACTTACTATCTATAATATAATGCAGGCACAAATGAAAACACATGTTCATAATACCTACTTCAAAGGTAGGATTTTAAACAACCACAATTAGCATACAGAAAGCGGTGCCTGCTACAGGACTTTAAACAACGACTTCGAGCGCACACTGTTTATTTCCTGCTTCCTACTTCACATGATTTCTAGAAAGCGATAAATGCCCCTACTATACATGATCTCTAGAAAGCGGTAAATATCAAAATGAGGTAAACGGGAGAGAATACCAAACAAACAAAAGTTCGTAGCGTTGCGAGCAAAAATAGAGAAATTCAGAAAACTTCGAGCAAGCTTCACCAAGTAACGGAAAAGAGTAGGATATCAAATTCCCGGAATAAGTGTCGAAGCATCATCGATGTGAAAATAAATCACTATCAAAATCTCAAACATATCTGCATATCGCACAATAAACCTGCATAAGACTCAAATCTCAATAAGCAAAGGTGAATTATCAATCTTGAGTAATCGGATAATCATGAATTAATTCCTAAAAATCAAATAAAAAATCTAACAAGTTTTATTGATTTTTTTTTTTTTTTTTCATGCAAAAAAAAGGTTCAAACAAATCTAAACAATTATCAAAACTTTTCAAAAGAAAATTGCAAATAACAAAAAAACAAGCCCATGGGGTGCAAGCTGGAATCCATGTAGTATGATGAAGCAGTCTGGGCGCTAGGCCCAACCCAACCTGTTAAAAAAAAGACTTTCAACTCATCTTGGCCAAAAAAGAATGTCATTGGGCCTGGGGGAGGTCTGTCCATCGAAAAAGCCCATGGGAAAATTCAATCTATGGAATTGTTTTCAACAAGGCAAAACAACCAATTTTGCAGCGTCATTATTCAATTATCAAAACAAATTAATTTGGGAAAAAAAGAAAAAATGATGCGTTTGAGAGAAATATGGGGTTCAGAGTTTGCCCTTTCAACTTCATCGAATAACCTGAATCTCTCTTCTCCTTCTCAATCCCTCCGCCGTTTCAACTCTCGGTTCAACCTCCGATGAATTTCCCGTCGGACTCTAACTTCTTCGCTCGCGATTTGTTTCGCCTTCATCAGCTTCAGTTCGTGTTTCAAATTTTCCGTTCGCGTTTCGTTCATCTTTGATGCAACTTCGAGCTTCAGTTCACGGATTCTGCTTCGACGCTCATGGATCGGAGACGCTCTGATGGTGTTTTCGCAGTCGTCGAAAGCGAAACAAAAATCCAGAGATTCTTTCAGGTACGCTATTTCTTTATCTTCTTCAATTCGCAATTCTTCTTCATTTCTCTGATTCCGTGCATTTTTTGGTTATTGCGTTTTCTGTAGTGTTGTTGTTGCGGTTGCGTGATGCGATGATTCTTGCAAAATAGAAGTATTGTTGATGTTCTGTATTCGTGGAGAAGGTTGCTGAACATGAATGATGAGAGGATGTTGAAGATTTTTTCTGCAGAATTATCAAGAAGCCATATGAAAGGCAAGTTTCTGTTTATATTCTGTTATTACTGTTAGAGTTTATTAGGATTAAATCCATCTGAGCCACTGATTTCTGATTTCTGTTATAGGAAACGATGGTCAAGATTAGGCGGTTAATTGGTTAGGATGAGCTGGCCACAAGTTGTTAGTGAATAAGTTTGCAGTTAATTTCAATTCGGAGTTATCTGATTTTCTATTTTCACAGTCTCCCTGTTTGGGTTTTCTGAATTTAATTTTACTGATTTTCTGATTTATTCTTAAACTGATATTGGCAATCATTTCTGTTTTTTGACAGTTTGTTATGATGAAATGGCTTTAGATTTGAATGAAACTGAGAGTTAGTTGCTGATTGTAATTTCTGTTAGCTAATTGTTAGTGTGAAAAAGATTTAGAATAGTCAATATTGTTAGGGCCTGACTGTTAGGAATATCAATTGAAATGGATAACTATTAGCTTAAAGCTGTTAGAAATTGTTATGTCAGAGATTGGGCTTGTGAAGTGGATATTTAAACTGACTTGAATCCATGTGATTGACTGAACCGATTTTGCTATGCATTGGCCATTTTAATTTTCTGGATGAGTGGACTGTTTTTCTGGTATTCCTGAACCGATTTTATGCAGGGTTATTAACTGATGTAATGATCGGTATTAAGTCTGTTGCATTTTTCTCTTGCCATTTTATGTGAGGCAGGTTTTTTGCTGCAAGCATAAGCCCTTTTTTTATTGTTTCATCTGGTCTGCATGCAAGGCTGACTCGGATATGGCGCATATTCGGATATGGGGCAAGGCTGGTTGGTCTTGACAGTATGTTTGTGACTACTGGTGTAGCAGCAGGGCACAATCATTGATAGGCTGAAGACATGTCAACGTTTCTTAATACCAAACTGGATCATAGTTCAAGAAGATGATTGTTATAGTGTGGTTGTTTGGTTTGATTCAGTTTTGGAAAAAATAAGCATGGTTAGAAGACGGGGATAGAATTTAGGATTTGATTTTCATGTACTTGCAATTTTTCTTGAATATATCTTGTAAAACTTCTATGTAATATTTTTTTAATGGAAATTCGCTTTAAGCATGGTTTGATGTATCATGAATGAATTTTGAAACTTGATCTTGAAGACACTTGAATAAATCTTGAATGTAATTTTGACTGTGATGAATGACAGTGTTTGTTTGGTTTTGAATGATTTTTTGCACGAAACTCGCGAAAGGATTTTGAATATTGTATGAGAACCTTAACTTTCACAAATTTGTGAGTAGAATGTTGAAGTTTTTTAAGTGGTTTCATGAAAAGTTTATATCATGAAGGACTTATGCACAAATGGTTGGCCTTTGCAATATGGAATCTTTGACCTTTCAAATGAACCTTGGTCAAAAGTCTTGCCTTGTATCTCATGATTCCATAAGAAATTTGCATTAAAATCAATCATATCATACTTGAAACATCTTAATCCAATTAAAGGGATTCAATTCTTAATGCCTTGGTATTTGAAGCAATCCTTGATTGCACCAAACTTGGACTAGTGAGATATGGTTCCTCAGACGAGGTCTCAATGCACATCCCTCTCAATGCTTTGATTCAAAAATCACTCAAGAATGAAATTTGAAATAAAATACAAGAAGAATATTGTATAAGCCTTTAGATGATGATGAGAATTGACAAAGAGCAGCAATACATCTTGATGAGAAAGGGACCCATAATGAAATACCAAAATCACATCTCAAGTCAACCTAAGATAAAACCCTGATCTCATGAGAAACATAGGGAAATAAACCCTTAATAGCCTTGTAGCTTGATGAAGAAAGAAATTCTCAATGACCACGAATCACAACCCTAATTCCACTGCTCACTGCTTAAAGAAGAAATTAGTCTTTATTAGATATATTCATATTCCAGTAAGTGACAACCCTAGCACAATCAACTAATTTTTTGTACCATGGCACTTTATTGAATGCGATGTTAAATAAAATGCGAATGAATGCAAAAGCCTAAGTCAAATAAAAGAAATTGGGAGGCAAATTTTGGGGTGCAACAATATTGTCCGGGGAATTCATCCTCCCCTCGCGACATTCATGAGATTGTTCGTTTCTCGTTGAACGAGGGTTTATCGACGTGGTTTGGTCGTAGCAACCCCCTTTTCACTTGTTTTGCAGTGGAAATGTGGATTTGATTTATCTGTCGAATTCACTGGTTTCATATGCTTTATAGGTGAAATGGACAATCCAATTGAGGTGGCTGCCACTGACGAGTAGGTCAAGGTAGAGGAGGTGAGTGGAGCCGATGAGTGTCACCATTTGGTTGACACTATTACTGATGCATCATTGTCCTGGGTCAGGCCAGAGCCCCGAGGAATAGCCTCGGTCTTCAGTAATGCCCGGAGAGAGGCGTACATGGTTGTCGAGTATGGCGAAGACCAAGAAGGTTTCAGGCGAAACTTCATGATATTTCGCCTGTCCTCTACAGTTAGAATATGTTCGAATTTCCCAAAGGATCGTTTCCCCATGTAAGAAGTCGTCTTCAAAGATTTGGTGCTTCATCTACCCTTTAGTGACTTTCAAATGGGCGTCTTTAACCATTTGTCTCTAGCGCCTTCCCAACTGCACCCCAACGCAATTGCCTTCATACAGGCGTTTGAGATCACTTGTCGGTATCTTAGAATTGGAGTGACGGTTCCCCTGTTCTTAAGGATTTTTCACCTTCAACGAAAGACTAAGGGAGGAAAGCATAGTTAGGTCTCTTTTAAGCAATCCAAGAGACTACTCAGGATGTACATGGGCTATGTCTGTAATTTAAAGGAAAATGGTATATCGTGCAGCCTGTGTCTCAAGAGGATGTGGATGCGGTGTTCTATCTAGCTATTATCGTCGACGAGGACGAGGAGGTTTGTTACAACGAGGACGAGAACAGAGAGATCGGGATGCTCTCCAAATTTCCTATCCATTGGTGTCGGGCTCATTACAATTACGAGCCTAGTTATTACCATACCTCAGTCGGTAGTATGGGTGGCGAGGATGAAAGGGCCTTCAACGTCCTCAACAAATTCGTCGATGGTTTCTTCTCCTCCAAGTGGGTGACGCGGGAGGGAGACAAAGTCCTTGATGATGATGATGGTGAACCTACATTCGAGGCACGTCCGATCAATACCAAGACGCTCGTCGAATGTCGTACTTACGGGGACGCCACAGCTCTTCTAAGTCTCTACCCGTGCAATCATGTTTCCTTTTGTTTTTAGTTTATTCATATACGCCCTTATAGTGGTACTAATCCGAGCATGTTGATGTATCTGGTATAAAATAATGACTAGATACATTATTTATTCAATGAATCTAAAAATATTTTTATTTATAAATGTGTCCGGAGGATATATATATATATATATATATATATATATATATATATATATATATATATATATATATATATATATATATATATATATGGCAGTTGAGCATGTTCCAAGTCATGCAAAACCGTAGGTGAACATCATGCAAACCACTGGAAAACTACTGGAACATGGGGGTCTGGTCATAATCCCTAATGAAAGCCCGCTCGTCATGATTTGCAAATCTGGATTCTGAGATCATGACAAGCATCATAGAGGATGACGATCCACCCATCATGGATGTTAATTTCTTACTTCTGTTTTGATATTTCTTCCTTAGTCAATGCCAAATGCCTTATATCTGTAACACAATGAAAAATGCTCATTCTCTACGGTAAAATGTGAATAAAACATATGATAATATGGAAATAAAACTAAATAAAATGGTAAAATCACTTGCGATCATACTCTCCACACTAGAAATGTTGCTTTTCCTCAAGCAACTTGGCTTGCCTAAAAAAATCCAGGCGCAACAATACAATAGATAAGAAGCTCGTGAAAATGTTATTTTTGATACTGATACGTGACTCCAAGTTTGAATTGGCTAAATATTAATGTTGAATGTTGTCAAACATTGCCCCTAATGTTGAATGAAAGAAGTGTTGGAACATGTCCATGTTTCAATATGTTGAATTTAAAAATTTCTCAAATCCAACATTGTTAGAATTTTTTTTTTGGTTGAAAAAACCATTTAGTCCCACATTTCTCATGTGAGAAATATTAACTATCCTACTTCACTATATAAGGAGTGCATATGTTTCATTCCAAATTACACCAAAAATTATTCTATTAGTTTTTCCTTCCTCACTCTCATAACTCTGCGTCTCTCGAATTGTCGAAGCGCCATCTTCTTCCCCTTTCTTCCTACTCGTTGAATTTTCCGAGTATTTTCTTGAATTCTCTTTAGAGAATTATGTTAATTTCTCCTCATTTGAGTTGAGAAATTTTCAAGTTTAATCTTTTGAATTCTCTTTGGAGAATTATTTGAATTTCTCTTTGTTGGAGAAATTATTATGAGTGGTCAAATGACCATTATTAATTTCTCTTTGGAGAATTATTTGAGTTTCTTTTTATTTAAGTTATTATGACTGGTCTTTGTACCAAATACTACGAGTGGTGTTGATACCATATTTGGATGGTCTTGTACCATCAGAGGGTGTATTTCTAGACCGATTATCTATCATGCAAGTAATAATCGTACAGTATAGAACTGAGTTGTTTTATCCTGGAGGCGGCCCGGTAGTTCGACTGCTTTGCATAATTTTGAGAAGTGTCGTGAAACGTCTTAAAGAGAGCGACCTAGTCCGCGACTCAACCTGGTAATTTCTTCGATGGCAAATGTTTTAAAATCCAAAATCCAACAATTTTAAGACGTTTCAAAATGTCATGACTACCGAAGAAATTATTGGTTCTTTTGTGGATATTGTCTTTGAGAAACCGTTCATGTTTGAGAGAAGTCACTTCAAACGTTGGCAACAAAAGATGAAGTTCTTAATGTTGAAAAAAGTTGCTAACGTTCTGATCGGTGACATTCTGTTGCTCCTTCTGGAACAATCGAACAAACTAATGGTAGTAAATCTGGAGATTTAGTAGAAACACTTAATAGTGTTAAAGTTGAATCTGGTGCATAAATTAAAGCGGATGATTTACAGCATAGTAAAGAAATCACCTTATAGAAAGAGAATGAAAAAATCTCTACAAAATCATATTTTGAATAGACTCGCAGATGATCTGTATGATAATTACAGTTGATGTGATACTGCAAAACAAGATTGAGAGACTCAGAAAAAGAAGTATGACGTAGAAGCTGGAGCAAAGAAGTATGTTGTTAGCCGCTACTTCAAGTCTCAAATGCAAAGATGTAAGGTCGATGAAGGCTCAATGTTACTAACTTCAAAAGATTGCTTAAAAGATCATCACAAAAGGTATGTGTTTAAATGAACAATTTAAAATTGGTTTTATTATTGACAAACTACCCCATAGTTTGAAGGTTTAAAAAAAACAAAAAGGGAATCTTAGAGAAAAATCAAAAAGAAAAAGTCTTGTTTGTTTCAAACAACAAAAAGAAATTTCGTGTAGTTCTGAAGCCATTTGGCAAATGATTAAAGAATCAGAACTGGAATATTGTGAACGGAATAAAGAATAGGAATCCTTCTATGATCCCAATAGCTTCAAATAGGCAACAACCACCACCTAAAATAAATGGCGTTGGTTTCCCTTTGTTTTAACTATGGAAAATCAAGTCATATGACTAAGAAATGTATAAGTAAGCTTGAACTTGGTGTTGTCCCTAATGCACAGGTCAACCTGGTTAATGGGCAATTTATTGCTATGATCATTGAAATCAACATGGTTGATGAATATGTTGGTTGGTGGATAGACACATGCGTCTCTCATTGTCTCTGCTATGATCATGTTATGTTTAAATATACACGAATACTAAAGATAAGAAAGTGTTGTTGGGA